GACAGCCCAGGGGGCCCTCCCGTGTCCATGTGTCCCCGTGTCCTCGGAGGGACCGACAGCACAGGGGGCCCTCCCGTGTCCCTGTGTCCCCGTGTCCTCAGAGGGAGCGGGCAGCACAGGGGGCCCAGGAGGGAACGCAGGGGCCGGGCTGTGGCGTCAGGGGCTCTGCCCCAGAGGAGCAGGGAGCAGGCGGCACAGGGAGTCCAGGGGGCTAGGGGGGAGGTCAGCGTCCTCTGGTCTGGTCCCCATCGCAGGAGCTTGCCTTCGCCTGCTGCGATCTGACACCGCACCCTGAACTGCTCGGGGTGGGGGGGCTAGGCCTCTGGGCCCTGGGTGGAGCAGACGGAGGGCCTGGGGCTCTGTGCCTGACCTCCGGGCCACCTGACCAGACGTCCCCTCCAGGACTACCCGTCGGTGGGCCAGCTGGCACACAAACTGGCTGAAAACAACATCCAGCCCATCTTTGCGGTGACCAAGAGAATGGTGAAAACCTACGAGGTTGGTGCAGCCGGGGTCCTGAGCGGGGGGGGGGGGGGGGGGGGGCGGCTGGCGCATGCTCACAGCGTGGCGGCGGGCAGGGGGCGGCGGAGGGGCGCTGCAGCCGGTGAGGCTCGGGGCGCTGCGCGGACGCACGGGGGAGGAGGATGTTCTCTGTCGGCGGACTGTAACGCAGCCGCCGCGTTTCCGTATCTGCTACGACACAGCGACTCTTTCTGCGGGCCCCGGCCTCGGTTTGTACGCATGCGCATTGCGACATCAGCGCGTCCATCACATGTCGGGTGCACAGGGTGGGCCGGGCGCATTCCAGAGGGACGCGCCCCCAAAACGCCCCACCAGGGCTGTCTCCCCACCCAGGGAACCAGCTCTCGCACGCTGACAACACTTCTTCTCTGCTTCGGGAACCCTGCTCTGTCCTGACCTCCTGACTTCACGGAATGACTGTTCCTGTTCAGTTCTTCCAGAGCACGGGGAACTTTCTGTTCCTGGGCCAGTTTCTCTTCTGTCCTTCATGCCCTCTGTCCGGCACGTGTTTGCGTTACTGCCTTCCGTGCCTGCGCAGTCTGTGGATGAGCAGGGTGGCCTCCTCTCGGCTCTGGTGCGCTGTGAGAGCACCTGCTGGCTCCCCCACCCTCCCCGAGTCCTGCTTTCTGCCCTGGGGGCGCCTGCTGCCGCTTCTGGGGCGGGGGATGCTGGCGGGGGGCTGGCACCAAGACGGAGACCCGCAGCTCCTACTGTCAGTTTTCCAGACTCCGAAAGGGGACAGGACCCTGCAGGAGATGCAGAGGAGGGGGAGGGGCAGGGGTCCAGAGAACCCCTGGGGTGGGCACTGGAAGCTTGCCAAACCACAGGGACCGGGGCTCCGTGCCGGGCTGATGACCGGGTGCACCATCAGGACCCGGCAGGCAGTACTAGGGGGCACAGCTGGCCCCGGTATTTTGCTGTCGGGGCAGGACGGTGCTGTGATGGAGTAGAAGCAGGAGGTTTGAACTGCAAACCCCCAGGATGGACGATGCCCTAGTGTGTCCGGGCCTTTCTGAGCCTGTTTCCCGACCCTCATTCATGGGGCTCCTGGGTGAGGGGCATCGAGGCGACCCAGAGCCTGTAAGGAGAGCATTTGCTGGACTGTCCTTGGTGCCCCACACTGAGGGGAGAGCAGGTTGGAGGGACAGGACAGGGGAGAGCCCAGCTTCCCAGAGCCACAGGGGGGTCCTGCGCAAGGGGTGGAGGGGAGAGGGCAGTGGAGGCCACCAGGGGTTGGTGGCCGGGCTGTGCCAGGCCTTGTGGGCTCCGTGGACGTACCTGGACTCTATCTGGGGAGTCACAGGGGGGAGCTTTGGGGCAGAGAAGTGGCACAAGCATCAGTTCTGTAAGACAGAGCGAGGATTCAGTCTTCCGTGAAAGAGAGTGTGAGGGGAGGAGGGGGCACAGAGGTGTCCTGGAGGCTGGCCCCAGGCCTGTCTGCGTTACGGGTGCTCCAGCCTGCCCATGCGCAGGCGCCACGGGACCCCCGGCCCGCTGGAGCCCAGGGCCCCATTCCTGCTTACCACAGTCATCACTAAAATTAAATTACATCAACACACTGAAATGCTCACCCCTCACCCCTTCCTGCCGGTGTTGGCACATTTTGAGATTCTCTGCCCTTGGCCGTAGCTGACGTATCCGCACGCCGGGTCGCTCTGTCACGGTGGCGAGGGACAGCTCTCCCAGCAGGTCACGAGCTGGAGGTCGGCCACGGAGGAGTGCTCCCAGCAAGGAAATGGGCTGTTCCTGAGCCACTGACCTGGTCTTAACTGAGAGCGATAAGCTATCTGGGGGGGGGTGGGGAGGGGCAGTCTGGGCCATTTTATGAGCAAGAAGGAACCCTCTGGGGTGTTACAAACCCCAGGGACGCTGCGGCTTCCGTGGCCCCAGGGCTCCAGCTGAGACAGGTCTGGTCTCCTTGCCCAACAGAAACTCACTGAGGTCATCCCCAAGTCAGCGGTCGGGGAGCTGTCGGACGACTCCAGCAATGTGGTGCAGCTCATCAAGAACGCCTACAACGTGAGTGCCCCTGGCGCTCCGCAGGGGTCCCCGGGGCTGGGGGCAGACCCCTGCCCTCCCTGCCGCAGGCCAGCCGAAGGGGGGTCTGCGGAGGGGAGCCCTGCCTCACAGGGCCACCATCAGGCCTTCTGGATTAGTGGATGCTGGCTCTTCCCACGGGGCAGCCGGGTCCTCGCCCGGGGATGGCGTGGTTTGTGCCCTGCCTGACCCTCACCTCTGCCCTCCCTGAAACACGGGCACCCAGCCTCCTCTTAGGCCGCAGTGCTGGTGGCCTCCCCACGTGCTGCAGGCTGAGAGCACCCGGGAAGTGCCGGGCCCTCGAATGGAGCTAGAGCTCTGGTGAGGGGTTGTGTTTGCTCCTTGTGCCCTTGTGGAGCCCGAAACCCCCAAGGCGGGCCCTCCTGTGTCTTCACACCCACGACTGTCACTGCTCACTCGCCTCTGACTCTGTCTCTCTGTCTCTGTCTGTCTCTCTTTCTCTCTGTGTCTCTGTGTCTCTGTCTCTCCCTTTCTGTCTCTGTCTCTCCCTCTCTGTCTGTCTCTGTTCCTCCCTCTCTCTTTGTCTCCCTCTCTTTGTCCCTCTGTCTCTCTCTCTGTGTGTCTGTCTTTCTGTGTCTGTCTCTCCCTCTTTGTTTCTGTCTCTGTCTCTCCCTCTGTCTCTTTGTCCCTCTGTCTCTCCCTCTCTGTCTCTGTCTCCCTCCGTCTCTTTGTCCCGCTGTCTCTCTGTCTCCCTGTCTCTGTTTTTGTCTCTGTCTCTGTCTCCCTCTCTGTCTCTGTTGCTGTCTCTCTCTGTCTCTGTCTCCCTCTCTGTGTCTGTCTTTCTGTCTCTGTCTCTCCCTCTCCCTCTGTCTCTCTCTCCCTGTCTCTCTCCATCTCCGTCTCCATCTCCGTCTCCATCTCCGTCTGTCTCTCATTCATTTACCCAGTTCCCCCAGCTCCTAGCCCGTGCCTGGCTCTGGGCACGTGGTGGTGGGTGGGACCGGCAGGCCCCGTCCCCGTGGCCGTGGCCTGTTCCCGTCGGCCACCTCACTGGCCTGTCCTGGGGGGCCATGGCATTGGTAGCCCGGCCACTGCCTGCAGGGGTATGGGGCATGCTGCCGCCCCAGCTCTCCGTGGGTGGAGGGAGGGATGAGCAATGAAGAGGCATCGGCGCCATCGGCCAGGAAGGGTCCGAGGACAGTGGGAGGAACCCCTAAACCACGGCCGCTCTTTCCCCCCCCAGAAACTCTCCTCCAGGGTCTTTCTGGACCACAACATGGTCCCCAGCACCCTGAAAGTCACCTACAGCTCCTTCTGCAGTAATGGGGTATCGCAGGTGGACCAGCCCAGAGGGGACTGCGACGGCGTCCAGATCAACGTCCCGGTGAGACCCCGTCCCAACCTTCCGGAAGGTTCTCTCCCAGGGACAGCTGGGGGTGCACCCAGGCCCACCGCTAGCACAGGGACAAGCGAGGGACGGGGGCCAGCGTCTGCTGCCGATCCAGCTCCTTTCCAAGGCGCCAGACGCTGCTTATGTAAGGCCGTCTCGCGCGGTAAGGAGAGGATCGTTGGTCAGGCCGAGCGCACTGCTCCGCCCCGGGCTCCGCCAGTGTAGACGGAGGGCGGAGCGGGATGGCAGCGCCCCCTGGGGGCAGGTGCTGCGCAGCGCGTCCCAGCGAAGAAGGGAGTACATTCCACCGTCCGCACATCTGGTTTGCTTTGGTCTGGTTTCCTGATTTTTGTGTTTTGGGCTTTTGGGGGTTTTTCTTTGAGTGTTTAATTTTATTTATTTATTTTTAAGTGGGTCCACACCCAATGTGGGGCTTGAACTCATGACCCTGAGATCAAGACTCAGACGCTCTCCTGACTGAACCAGCCTGGCGCTCCTATTTTGATTTTTGACAAAGATATTAAAGCATGGGCCACAGGGATGATTAGAAATAGGCGCTGAGTTATTTCCATAATATTTTGATTTTCTTATGACCGTAAAAATTAAATTTTTCCTCTTTCCGGCTGTGAACTAATATTCAGCAAAAATACTTGCTCTTATTGAGGTTTTTAGATAGGACATTGGAATTCAATCCTCAACTATGTCACTTGCTAAATGTTGCATATACATGTTTCCTGAGCGACCCACATGGGAATTTATTCAATCTTCTGATGAGCTGATTGCTTCTTACACATTTTTCCTAGTATTTCTGCTCTACCTAAATGTCCCCTGTAGCAATTCATTTAAATGTTCCTAGGGTGTGGCTTGCTTTTGACAAGTCAGTGCTCCCCGAAGCTCTGAGCTGCTGACTTCAGGGGTGCAGGTGGGCGGCAGGGACTCTGCTCTGTCCCACCCGGTTCCCCTGGGGCGTGATCTTCTACCCTTTATTCAGGGTCAGAGCACACTCCATATCCAGAATCTAGGGCCTCCTGCGGGATTCTGGCATCTCAGCATTCCAGACATAAGGAGAAAATCCATGTCCTTTCCCAAGTCACCACGTCTCCTTTCTAATGCACGGATGTTAAAAATATTCTAGAAGCACCCCCCCAGCCTAAGGCCAAGCCAGGAGGTGATGGGTGTGGGGAGCAGCATGGCTGGGAAGGCCCCGGTGGGCCTGACGCCCCAGCGTTCCTGCACCTCCGACTCTGGGGCTCCAGACGGCCTTCTCTCTTTTTCATGTCCAGTCCCAAGTCCTGGATTAATGCGGAGTGTTCTGTGTTCTTCCAGCCGTCCCCTCCCCACGCTTCCCTGCACTCCCTCCTGGGGCCCTCGAGAAAGGCTGCCCCCCCCCCCCGGGCTCCTGGACAAACCTGTGTCCGGGCCGCAGGCGAGCAGATGGGACAGAGTGTGGCCCCGCCGCCGCCGCCTCGCCTGAGCCCTGCTGTTGTCCGCGACAGATTACCTTCCAGGTGAAGGTCACGGCCACGGAGTGCATCCAGGAGCAGTCCTTCGTCATCCGGGCACTGGGCTTCACGGACACGGTGACGGTGCGAGTCCTCCCTCAGTGTGAGTGCCACTGCCAGGCCAAGAGCCAGGCCCGCGGCCTCTGTGGCGGCAAGGGCTTCCTGGAGTGCGGCATCTGCAGGTGAGCGGGCGCCAGCAGAGGTTTCAGCCGAGGGCCAGCGGCCCCCGAGAGGGCCGGCCTCCCGCGTGCCCCTCAGGCCCTGAGCCCCGCCGCTCCCGCTGCAGGTGTGAGGCCGGCTACATCGGGAAGAGCTGTGAGTGCCAGACGCACGGCCGGAGCAGCCAGGAGCTGGAGGGCAGCTGCCGGCGCAACAACAACTCCATCCTCTGCTCGGGGCTGGGGGACTGCCTCTGCGGACAGTGTGTGTGCCACAGGAGTGACGTGCCCAACAAGAAGATCTTCGGGCGCTACTGCGAGTGTGACAACGTCAACTGCGAGCGCTACGACGGGCGGGTCTGCGGGGGCGAGGGTGAGCACGGTGCGGACGGGGGGACGGGCGGTGTGGACAGACAGGCGGCCCGGGGCGAGCGGGGCTGCGGACGGAGGGACAGACGGACCCCGGCGGGCAGGTGCGGGCAGAGGGCCGGGCGGG